CAAGGATCTACGTTATGGTCCGATTTCATCAGTATGTTGGCCGAATCCGGCCAGGTTAGAGAGGTTAGAGAGACAGGCGGGAGAGTGATTGGATGACAAGTTTTCAGGGAGCTTGTGGATTTATAACAAATCATGTAARCTCCATCCACTTGTAACTTTCAGTTGACACAAGGCATACAACTTGATCTGGATTATGTAGCTCATGCACAATTTTACCACGTAGGAGTAATTATTATCGGTGTGTTTTGCATGCTGATGATCTATCTATTGATTTCTTTTTCCGACATCTAGTAAAACTGGAGTTAGTGGTGAGAGCTGATGAGTCAAAAAATGCAGCAACCAAACCAACACATCGTATCCCAGCAGAAAGTAGGGCTAGGAAGGCATAAGATGTTTGAGACATGTTAGTATGATATTGAGAATGCCTATTGGCATTACTTATATAAAACTTTACACAACAGAAATGTAACACAATTTATTAGGAATCACTTATTTGTTTTGCTATATCAACAACCACATTAATTTCTTGACCTGTTGCATACACTTTTTTTTTTTGCAATTTGTCTGATCTTATAGTAGTATTTCTAGATAAAATTATCATGGCTACCAATTATTTTTTTTACTTGAAAAATATGATTCATCTTATGCTTCCATTTATGTGGTAAATATTTTTAGGACAAACTTTCCATTGCTTCTTGCTGTTAGAGATCATGTGAGATTTGCAAGTCAATAGCAGTGAATAGATTTACAAACATATACTCATTGGAAGGATGTGATCTATGAATTACGAGACTTGTCATGTATCCGTGCTTCTAGATGTTGGATTTCGAGGAATTAGGGAACCGAAAACCACTTTATAGTTTATATACGTCATTCTGCTAATTTCTAAAATAAGTATCAATTCTGACCGAGCATTGAAAGGTTCTCTTTTGTAAAATTCACAGGTAATATATAGATAGATGGAGGCTTAAAATGATAATTAAATAAGGAAATAAGACAATAATTTTGTGTCAATTTTTATTTGAATAATGTCTTAAAATAAAACTTTCTTAAAAATTGTCCAAAAAGACATATTTATCATCTACTATATACAAATTATATATGAAAATTTATTTATTCGTGTAAAAG